ATTGTTTTATTTTTCCCTCCTTTGCTGTGATTAGATTGGCTTAACCAGGTAGGTTGTAAAACATCTTAAAAGAGGAAGAAGCAAATATAAATCTGGCTGAGAAATCACTTAGTGTTGGTTTCCTCACCAGTGTTTTTGACTTCATACCTTCAACCTTTTTGAGTAATTTAAAATCTCTTTTATTTTTCATAGTTTCATAGTTTCTAGGGTCGGAAGGGACCTGAGCAGATCATCTAGTCCGACCCCCTGCCATGGCAGGAAGAGCACTGGGGTCAAATGACCCCAGTAAGGTGGTCATCCAACCTCCTCTTAAAAACCCCCAGGGTGGGAGCCTGCACCACCTCACTTGGAAGCTGGTTCCAGACCCTAGCCGCCCTGACCGTGAAGTAGCGCCTCCTGATGTCCAACTTAAACCTTCCCTCCGCCAGCTTGTGACCATTGTTCCTGGTCACTCCTTGCGGCGCTCGGGGGAACAGGGACTCCCCCAGCGCCTGCTGATCCCCCCTAACCAGTTTATAACAGGCCACAAGATCCCCCCTCAGCCTTCTCTTTTGAAGGCTGAACAGGTTCAGGTCCCGCAACCTTTCCTCATAGGACCTACCCTGCTGTCCCTTGATCATACGAGTGGCCCTCCTCTGGACCCTCTCGATGCTGTCCACATCCCTCTTAAAGTGCGGCGCCCAGAACTGGACGCAGTACTCCAGCTGCGGCCTGACCAGTGCCGCATAGAGGGGGAGGATCACCTCCTTGGACCTGCTCGAGATGCATCTGTGGATGCACGACAAGGTGCAGTTGGCCTTCCTAGCCGCCTCCCCACATTGCCGACTCATGTTCATCTTGGAGTCAATAATGACTCCCAGATCCTTTTCCACCTCCGTGCTGACAAGAGGGGAGTTCCCCAGCCTGTATGTATGGTGCCGATTGTTCCTCCCCAGGTGCATCACCTTACAGTTGTCTGTGTTAAACCCCATCCTGTTCTCCTCCGCCCATCCTTGTAACCTATCTAGGTCTAACTGTAGCCTGTTGCTCCCCTCAATTGTGCCCACATCCCCCCACATCTTAGTGTCATCAGCATTAACTTAGTGTCATCAGCATTAACATCTTAGTGTCATCTTGTGTTAACTGATTGAAGGCCTTCCTGCTGGGCTGCTTTTAAGTTAAAAGGATAAACAAGAGGACAGGCCTAAAAATTGTTTCTAGATAATTTCCCACTGGAAGTTGGAGTTGTTTCCTGGCAGAGTAACTGTGATCTCCAGAAGGTGGCAGCAAGTTCTGTTTTCTGTTTTTTTTGCAACTGTGTGTGTTGGTATAGATGGAAGGAAGTTGCATTGAGTGTTCTTGTGTGTGTATCCTTTAAAATATGGTATAGTTGAAATATATGAATAAGCAAATCAAACTCCTTGAATTCTGAGGCATTAAAATGAGCTTATTGCAACTGAGCAGGAAGTACTCACTTCGTCGTATTTTTATTTGATTTTAAAATTTTCATAGCTGCTGTAGGATATGATGTGGTCCCAGAAGACGCCTTTGTTTTTTGTTGGGTTTTTTTTTTTGGGGGGGGGGGGGGGGGGAAGGTGACACATTGATCTATTTCCAAAATTAATTCCTTACCTGAATTTTGGTTTTCTTTTCTTTTTTTTAAATCTGTCTGATAGCCACATGCTTCCTTTACCAGGAGCACAATGTAGCAACTAAGCCCTCAGCAGCATTATGGCCGCACGGGGCAGTTGTGTCTGTTTCAGTTACCTGGCATTTCTTAACGTTGGCTACATCACTTTTTTTGAGAACCAGCAACTCCTTTTGAAAACTATCTTTCTTTCCTTTCCTCCTCCAAAACCATTCGGCTGGTCATTATGAAAGCATTTAGGTTAAATAACCTCTACTTTCTCTTTGCAGCACTAACGGAACAGTAATAAATAAACTGAAGGTGGTTAAGAAGCAGACGTGCCCTTTGCAGACTGGGGACGTGATCTATGTTGTTTACAGAAAGAATGAGCCAGAAAAGAGTAAGTAGATATTTCAGTGGTACAGTAAAATCCGTGTTATCCAGCACTGGCATGGTGGTTGATGCAGCAAAAACGAAACCAGAAGTCCCACTTCCAGTTTTGCTGAGTCCCACTTCACCAATTTCGGGCCATGGCCTGGGGCAAAGTAGCCTGCGCAGGGCCCCCCCACCCTGTCCCCCACCACACTGAAGCCAGGGAGTGAAAGCCTGGTGCACTGGACACGGTGGGAGGAGTGGCGGCCTGATCAGGCAAAGACGCCTCTCAGGTAACCGGCATATTTGGTTATCCAGCACCCCCCATTCCCCATGGGTGCCAGATAACTGCTTTTGCTGGCTTTGTGTAGTCATAAGGGATACAAGGCAATATCTGATGGTTAGAACTAGAGTGGTCAGAGGATTTTATCAGGTGGCTCTTTAATGTTAAAAACATATTGCGACGATTTTGGGGGCCTTGTCTAACTGTTGTAGTAGTCATCTTTTTTTTTTTTTTTTTTTTTTTTTTT